TGAGTTATAGACAGCGAATGGAGAGAAACAGAGGTTTCGGTAATCGGTTTTGTGTCGAGATATGAATACTTTGAATAATTCAAAGCCGAACTCATTCGCCGACTCTTTAATGGATTTTGGGCTCATTTCTGGGGATCAGTTCATACAAGATATCAGAATTATTGGGCAATTATTACTGCTTTTTTGTGTCTCAATGTTTAACATTCAAATTCATTGCATTCTTATAGATTCTCGCGATTCAATTGATTTATGGAGTTTTGTTGAAAAAATTTTGCAAGTTTATTTTAATATTTCTATAGAAAGCATAAATGAATCGCAAGATATAACATATTCATCTTGTACCATGAACATATTATATCAAATTTTGTTAGCTGTAAACATATTTCAGTAATAATTTATATTTATCCATTAATTTTTAAAACTACATTTAGATATAATATATGGTCATTATTATATAATAATTAAATATTTAAAAAATTATTTGGAGATTTGAATTGTTTTCAAAAATAACGCAATGGAGAATGCATGTTAGGTTTAAATACTAACAAATTGTAACATTTAGGAATATATTACAAATATAACTTATGAATATTTACAGTCGTTATAATTAATTATTTAACATTTTATGTATAATTTTCCTTAAATAAGTATTACAAGTTTTACATTTTAATAAAATTCATTTAATGTTTATCAAAATTAGTTTACAAGTTGTTGAGAAGTGGGCTTTGGAAATAGATTTAAAATCATTGCTCACAAGTCGGTATAAAAATTAAATTATTTAAAAACTTAACTTTAAATTATATAACAATTACATAAATAGTCATTTAATTTAATTTATTTTCTAAAACATTAAACTTTTCATAATATATAGCTCTCTATCCACTGGCACCGGGCGGACCATTGACGCCGGGCGGGCCATCAACACCAGGCGGGCCATCCGGGGCACCCGCGCCACCCTTACCCCCCGCGCCACCCGCGCCACCCTTGCCACCCAAACCACCCGCACCACCAGGCGCACCCGGACCACCTGTGCCACCCGGGCCACCTGTGCCACCGGGGCCACCAGCACCACCCGGACCACCCGCGCAACCCGGGGCACCTGCGCCACCCGGGCTACCCGGGGTACCATTGCCACCATTTCCACCCGTACCACCTTCGACACACGGGCCACCTGTGCTACCCGGGTAACCTACGCTTCCCGGGCCACCTGCGGCACCCCGGCTACCTGGCTGGCAGATTTGAGTCGCTTGCCTGACATCCCTGGCCACCGAATGTATTAGTCCGTCGACCGCCTGAATAAACAATTCATTTAATTAGACATTCAGTCAATATGAAGAGTACCGGTAGGGAACGGCATTCTGTGGGCACCGATACAACCAATTGTGTGAATGAGTGTTAAATCAAAGGTATGTCTCAAACCTGAAGGCGTGAATCAATTGTGCCATTCGTGCCGTCCATCAGCTGTTGATTTGAAATTAAAGATTCATTTATTTAATAATACGTTACGAATACTGTGGCAAACAATTCCCAGTAATAATAATAGTTAATAAAAGTTAATAATGGTAATAATTACGATTAAGACTAGTAGTAATAAGTGTAATATTAGCATCATATGTAATTATTGCACAAAGTTAATTTTTATGAAACTTAATGCGAAAAATTTTCAGTATTAAATTGCGTTGGTGAATATTTTTAAATTATGTTTAAGATAAATTTGCAAATAACCATGTACACTTGTCTAGAAATTATAATAGCATCGTAGTGCCGCAACAGCTATATATTACATGAAATAGAAAGTCCGTGGAATTTTTATCTTATCTTCTCATTTCAAAATGCTGAGTCAGATCGACCTTGTGGTTGTT